TAGATGAGTTCATAACTCATTGAACCCAAAATTATAAATGGTAAAAGGCAACATACCCATCCTGCAATACATTTACTTCTTTGTTTGTTAAAATTAATTCCTTGAAGGACTGATATTACTCTTTCTATAGCCACACAAGTGTTAAGCCAATTACTCATATTTAAGAAAAGACGAAGTAAAGGTTCAAATACTAAACATCCAGCTCGAAGAATATTACGATTGATCAATGGATTCATATACGTATATGTTACAAACCAGAACTTAATAATTAACATAGTAACAATTAGAATAGAAATAATTGATGATAATCGAAGATAAATTCCAGATCCTACTTTACGAGAATCACGATTATGGAAAACTAAATAACTAAGAAAACCATTGATTAAGCTAATGAGAAAAATAATCATGACAAATATTGCACTTAATTTAACTACCAATGATTGATCATTTAATGTACTATTAGGTCGAATTTCATAACGTAATAAATCATCTAATGTTAATCCAATACCTTTAGCATAAAACTGACATCGATCACCAAAAAAGCAATCGCTGCATACACATAGAATACTATAAAAACATATAGGTCGACCTTGTAAACATGTTCCACCATTTTCACAATAAACATTATCATCACAGACAAAATTCGATTGATGATCTAATGGAAAGCAATTACTATGATGTTCTTCTGTGCATAGACACATGTAAAATTCATCCATAAAACATTGTAGATTAAAATCACGTTGACATGGAATGTGATAGCTTTTCAATCGTTGAATGCGTGGCAATGAAACTAATTCAGTACTCAAAACTTCATCAACGGAAGCACATCGTTGTGCAGAATTAATTGATGTTGTTATGTTAGATTGTACGTCTTTCTGAAGTACAGCCACATAATAACGATTACCAATTTTGATAAGAATCATTTTGAACATATACTGAGAGTATAAAATAACATGATTCTGGAACATAGTCATTTTTTTGAGTATAATAGATGTTGGTATTGATCGTTCAAAACTAATCTGATTGTAGATATAGACGAGTAAGTGTGTTGGAATTTCAATATCCTTAAGAGAAATACCTATTCTTTGATTGACGTATTGACATCTTGGTCCAGAATATTGTTCTGAGCAAAAGCATACATAACTTTCATCAATCATTCTCGCATCGATTACGACACATTGACCATTATTTTTGCAGAATCCTAGTGGACACATGAGTTTGAGACGACAATATGAACCAAACGTATTTTGAAGGCATACACATATTGATCGATTTTGAATCGAACCAATACAGATCGAATTTGATGCGCACATACTGCAATCGATTGGAATATGACATTGTGCACCAGACCAACCTGAATAACATTGACAGAAGAATCGTTCGTCATTATGATATTTCATGCAAATACCATTATAACATTGCAGATTGCAAGGATTAAAATTCGATGGTCGAGATATTGGAATAGTCAAAAAAGCACTCAATCGATTAACTGGTAAGAAAATAAATGGAATCGCTAAATGCCAACTTACTAAATACGTCGATGAGCTCTTGTCAAATGCGTCAATACGAATGCTATAGTTTTTTGAAATATTCTTTCCTCGTGTTGTATATAACAGATAGATATCTACAGGTCGACCACAAAATGTTTTTGATACATAAGTAAATTGATGGTATGAATGAATTTCTTGTCTATCATTGTCATCTTCCATTAAGGTAACAATAATAGTATAGACAATCGGCTGATCGACCGTTGCCAATACGAGAGTTAAACTAACACGTTGATTTTGATACTGGCATTGATCACCATAATAGTTTGGTGGACAAAAACATAGACTACTGTAATTGCCGTCTCCAAGTCGATGATACATATGTAAACCATAATTGCAAACATCTTGCTGTATGATCTTTTTAGTCGGCAGTTCTATCTTTTTATCAGTGATCTGGTTTTTAATAGAATAAGTTGAAATAGTGTGTGAGGTTGGATAAACTAATGCAGTATGTAATGGAAAAGACTTATAATCTGTATTAATGATTCGACATGACATGTTCCGCATATCAATAAAATTATTAAAACTGTAGCCATTACATAATTGTAGACTGTCAACGCAAAATTGATAATTATCATACGGTAGACATTCTTGGTTTTCATTGCAAAGATCTTCATTGTCTGTACATTTCGTGTCATTCGAGCAATAAAATTTGGTCGTTTGAAAGTATTGAGATTCATCGGATGATGCTCCAAAACAATCGGCAATTCCATTAATGACTTGACCGGCTGGTAAACACATCTGTGTATAATTCTGTGGTGAAGAACAGAAAAAGAAGTGCCTTAATGTAATTGTTTTCATACAATGCTTTTCATCTTCTCCATCAAGACAATTTCGAAAACCATCGCATCGTGTATAAATATTATTGCATTGCCAATCTTCACAATCAGTCTCATCTGAATGATTTTGTCCATTAATCAACATCAAGGGCAAATCCGCAATACGATCACATAGTTGATAAAATAAAATTTTCTCATAACTTATTTCTATTGAACGAGAACAGATATTCGGTGAAATTAAAGGTGAATGACATTGTTTTTCATTTGGACATTGAAATCGAAGCGTTTGATTTAATGAACAACTTAATTCAAATACTTGTTCATCATCTTTTAGAAAACAATCGGGTATACCATCCACTATTCGATATTTAGAAATATATTTTGAGGAATTTTTACATTGATATAATGACAAATAATGGGAACTGATTTTTTGATATCGTTGAGTGACACAACCAATAAAGTATGGTTTGACCGAATCGATGATAGATTTCCATGTAGTTAGTTCGACATTCATGTCAAGGCCTGTTTGATTCCCGTACCGACAAGTGAAATTATTATGATGAAATGTAGCTGTAAGAAAATCACATAATTGCTCATCGTAACAAATATAATCAGGCTTAAGTGCTAATGTTATATTAATATTGTCAATTTCTTTTGGATCATATAAAAATCGTACATGACCAAAGAGTACAGGAATAACAGGAAATTCAAGAGGAAACGTACAATTTTTAAATTCTTCAATGATTTCAGAAGATTGTATGAACTGATCACATGTTATATTTCCGATTTTATTCATGATTTTGCTAAGACAAATCATAACTATCCAACATGAATAGGATAAATTTCCTTGAATACTAATGGATTGACTCAATGCTAGATGTCGATTATTTTTACATTCGCCAAAATCTTCTACACATTCTCCATCACCACACGTAAATTGTCCTTCGTCAGGTCGACATACATATTCTTGATATTTGAATAG